TTTTCATTTGTACCTCATATATTAATATTTTCTGTATATAATTTTATTTTTATTTTTTTTAAAATTTTATTTTATAATTTATTTTTAATTTAAAAATTCTCAATTTTTTTTTAATAAAAATAAAATTTTCAAGTAAATATATAATAATTTAAATATTTTAATGTTGCAATTTTTTTTTATTAATTAATTTACTAATATTAATATTTTTATTTTATTTTTATTACTAATTTAAATTTTACTTATTCAAAACAAAAAATAATAAATTCAGCATAGTTTTTTTAAAATTTAATAAATTAATTTTTTAATTGTTTATTAACTAAAATCAATAATTTTTTTTTTAATTAATAATTATTTATTAAATGGATATATAAATTGATATTATTAGCTTAAAATAATTTTAATGTTTAGTTTTTTTTCAGTTTAAATTTATTTTAATTTTAATTTTTATATTTATCATTTAAAAAATATTTATTGTTTTTAAATATTTTTAAATATATAAAAAAATATTCTGTTATATTTAAATGATAATTTAATTAGCAGGTATTCTCTAAAAAAATAAAAAAATATAAGCTTAATAATAATATATTTAAAAAAAAAAAAAAAAAAATTTAAAAATATTATTATAAAAGAAAAACAAATCAAAAAAAATAAAACGAAACGAAAAAAATGAATCAAAAGCAAATAAGTTTATGGAAAGAAGTTATTTTAAGTAATAATTCTATTATAGTCCCTTCGCCTAGGTGGGGACATTCTTTAATTTATAATTAAAAAAATTTATTATACTTATTTGGAGGGTATGCAGGTAAATAATTCAAAATTATCAATTTATATTTAAAATAAATAAAAAATACAAAAAAGAATAAAACTATTTAAATGACTTATGGGTTTTTGATTTAAATGCATTTTAATGGAAATAAATAGAATAAGGATCAAATGTTCCAGAATAAAGATCAAATCACACATCATGCTTTTTAAAAAATTAATAAAAGTAAAATAATAATTACTATTTTGATTCAAACATATTTTATTATTTATTAATAAGGGTACTTATTTTTGGTGGAGGTGGAAAAGAAAAGAAAAGATTTAATGATACTTTTCTTTTAGATCTTAATAATTAATAATGGGAATAAATAAAACCAATAAACCAATCTTAAATATTATAAAGAACTTATCATACAGCTGACTTAGTATTTGATAAGTATTTAGTTGTTTTTGGTGGTGAAGGATAAGGAGATTTAAATGACTTATGTATTCTTTATTTAGATTAATTGCCAAAATGGTAAATAAACATATATTCTAAATTTAATAAATTTATAAATATTTAAAGGGAAATTCCTATTATTTAAGGGAAGTTACCTCACAAAAGAAGATTTCATTCAAGTGCAGTTATAAAAAACAATCTTTATATAATAGGAGGGTGTTTTGGAAATTATAATTGTTTAGGGTAAAAATTATTATTTTATCTATTTTTTTATTTTTTATTTTTTTTTAAAAAAAACAAAAACAAAAACAAAAGTGATATTTGGGAAATAAATATTGATCAATGTTTATAAAATAAAAATATTTCTGTTCAATGGAAATAAATATAGCTTTATAATAATATATTTTAAGCAAGGTGGGGTTAATGTTCTAAGGTTTATGATAATAAAATATATATTTTCGGAGGAAGAAATTAAAAAGATCTAAACGAAACTATTGTTTATGACCCTAATACAAAAACTGATTTACTAAAAAAAATTGATCATTAATAACCTAAACCAAGAAGAAAAGGTGCTTCCGTTGTAATAGGATCTACAATAGTATCTTTCGGAGGATTCGATGGAAATTATTATAATGATATGTATTATTTTGATTTATCTAGTATAGAAGTATTTTATTTTAATAGATTTATTTATTTAAATTAATTAATAAAATAGTATGAAAATTTATTAAAAAAGAATAATGATGTACATTATAAATATATTTAAAACTTAATGTTCAATTAAGAACATTGTGACTTTTTTTTTATTTGTAAATACTTTAAAATCGGTATCCATAAAATAATTGTCTTTGATAGAATTAAGAATGAAAAAAACAAAGAATTTTTAGAAAATGTAAACAAATATTTTAAATATTAATTTAACAAAATAATACAGATAAAAAATTGCTTATAAATTAATATAAGTCATATTAATTTTGAATAATATTTTTTTTTAAATACTGTAATTTAATACTTGTATTCTGGAGTTTTCGACTATAAACAAATAAGAAATATAAATGAAATTAATTTATTATAGTAATTTGCTATAGAAATAAAATTAATGACTTTATTTGATGCTTTAATGTTATAATTAACATAGATTAAAAAAGAAATATAATCTCCTATATGCAATAGGTTTAATAAACATCATATTTAATAATGTTTATAAAATAAAATAAATTGTCACAATAAAGAAAATGCACACTAAGCTATAAAGTAGTAATATAAAGATTATGATATAAACTTTGTTATTGTAAGAATATCATTTTATTTATTTAATTTAATAAAAATTAGGTTGATGATTTATCATTTGAAAAAAATTCTATTTTTCAGTATTTTTCTGATATTGATATAGAATGCGAAAAACATATTTTTAAAACAAATAAGTTTTTGCTTTAAAATTCTTGTACATATTTCAAAAATTTATTTTAAGGGCAATTTTAAGAAAAAAATAAATAGTGTATTCAAATATAATTTATCCCTTTATAAATGCTAAAAACTATATTAAATTTTATCTATTATAGAAGAATTATTATTACTTGTAAATAAAATTATAATGATTGGATAAACTTAATTCAATATATTAAATATCTAGATATAATTGAAATGTAGGAGGTATATTTTATATAATATATTTTAATATAAAATTATTTAAAGTATAGATTTAATATAATTATAAATATTATTTAATTAAAATATATTTTAAAATAGAATATATATTAAATTTAGATAAAAATTAATATTAATATTAATATTTATATAAATATATATATATATATATATATTATTATTTTGTAAATAATAGAAATATTATATATATTTATATAATTTATTTTATTAATTGTAAATTTATTTATAAATAGATATGTGAATATGAATTAACGAAGTTAATAAATATAAATAATTTAAATTATATTTATTATATGTCAATATAATTAAATTGCTATAAATTATAATGTTCTTGTGCTTTATTTGTAGCTCAAAAGTAAATTTTATTTATAAAGTTTATAATAATTAAAATATAAAAAAAAGTATATTTACAGTAGAAATGATGAAAATATATTAATCTTGGTGTAATTCTAACGATGAGATTCTTATTTAAATGAAAGAAGAAAGTGAAAAATTACATATTTAATTAAAATTTCCATTATAATAAGAAATAATAATATAACATAATTAAAAAAAAGAAGAACTTATGATAGAAGAAAAATTCATAGATGAGAATGTTTTTAATTAATAATATAATAATAGAAGTATATTGTAAGAAATATTGAGAAATAATAAAAAAAATAAAAATATATGAAAAATATAAATAAAATAAACTTATTTACTAAATATATACAGAACAAATTTTTCATTAATTAAAAAAATATTAGTAATGTTAATTTTAATAATTGATTTTTTTGTTTTTTAAATATTTCTGGAATAAAAGCCCTTATTATTAAATTATAAATATTTTTTTTTTTTGTCTATTGATTTTATATTTTAATTTAAATAAACGAGATATTATTTTTTAATTTATATTCACTAAAACTATGGCGGTGTTTACTATAAATATAATTTAAATAAAATTATTATCGTAAAAAATTGTTTTATATTTAAAAACTTAAAGTATATAAATATATATTTAAAATTTAAAAAAAAAGTTTTTTTTCAAAAAATAAAATAAAAAAATGCTTTAATAATAAAATCTTTAAAGTTTATAACATTATATAATAGCAAAAAAATATTATTAAGCATAAGACTATTAAAATTCATTTATATTTATATAAAAAATAATACAAGATTATCCTTTATTAGAAAAGCAATTGTATGAACTTTTAATATTAATATTTACAAAATTAAAAATGTTTAATAAGGCATAATAATATTGTTTCAAATATAATTATATTCCTAACATTTCCTTAGATTCAAAAGAAACATATTAGAAAGTCTAAATAAACATTAATTAATTAAAAAGGTTTAATGAAGAATTGTAAAAAGAATATAAATAAGGAGATTAATTATATATAATTCCAATAAATTGGTTTGAAAGATTCCGAAATTACATATTAGAAGAGAATTAAGAATAAAAGGAATGCCCAGATTATATAAATGCAGAATAATTAATCGATTTTGAGACTGATAATGTACTTTTGGATAATTAATAAGGTAATTTGAATTATGGATTAAAGGAAAATTTATAATTTATAAAAGACTATTTGATTTTAAACGATAATTATGCTAATTTATTATATGAAATATTTGGTGGATTTAGAATTTAAAGAGAAGTAGTTTATAATTAAATAAATAATAGATTAGAATGTGATATTTTTTTATAAAAAATGAGATTTTTTACGTATCCTTTATGCCAAAAAAGTATTTAAATAAAAGAAAATATGCGACCATATTGCATTTATTATCAATAAAAAGATGGATTTGAGAATTTCGAAAAAAAATAAGAAGATGCTTATAGATTATGCCTTTTTGTGATAAAAATGTTGTCAATTTACCTTATTATAAAATATGGAAAATAAATAGTGGGGAAAATTTCTGGGAAGTTTACTTAAAAAAAGACAAGAAAATATTTTTATAAGGATTTTTAGCAGATAATTTTGATTAGTTTTAGGATAAAAATGCAGTTTATATTTATGAATTATCAGAAAATTAATCTAGATTCAAGCTTTATAATACATTAGAAGATTAAAAATAAGATTTAAATATTTAATTAACTGTTTAGGATAGTTTATTATAAAGAAAAAATAGTAAAAATAATAATTAAATGGATATTGAGGATTTAGAAGAAGATACATAAAATAGTGAATTAATATAATATTATGATATTATAAAAAAATTTAATATTAAGCCTGTAGTAAAAAATTATATAAATTAAAAAGGATTAACTGGACTTCTAAATTTAACTAATACCTGTTTTCTTAATAGTGCTATTTAATGTTTAAGTAATATTGAAAAACTCACTTTTTATATGATTTCAAATTAGTTTATTAAAGATCTTAATATAAATAATCCTTTAGGAACAAGTAATATTATTATTATTTTTAATATTTTACTTAATTATTATATTATATAGAAGGATAATTAGCTGTTTCTTATTCGAATTTAATAAAATAAATATGGTAAGGAACCGAACCTTATGTATCGCCTATTTAAATAAAGAAAATTATTGGTAAACTATCAAATCGTGTAAAAAAAAAAAAGAAAAAAAAAATAAAAAAATTCATTGTTAGTTTAGTGGTTTTAATTAATAAGACTCATAGGAATTATTAAACTTTATTTTAGATGGTTTACATGAAGATTTAAATCGAATAAAAAACAAGCCAATAATTGAAAATATTGAATACTAAGGAGGAAACGATGAATTATATGCAGAAAGATTTTTCATGAATTATAAATAAAGAAATGATTCAATTATATGTGATTTAATGCTCGGATAATTCAAAAGTACACTTATGTGTCCTGATTGTAGAAAAATATCAATAACTTTTGATCCTTATATGACTATTTCGGTTCCTGTTCCTTAGATAAGGCAAATAAATTTAAGGTTTTATTTAATTTTTAGAAATCCGGAGACTGTTCCGTATTATATATAGATTTATTTACCTGGGAATACTAAATTGAAACAAATAAAGGAAATTTTAGAAAAAGAATTTTAAATAAACAAGAATTTTTTAATTTTTTGTGTTTGTAAAAAGGATTAAGCTACTTAATTTTTCGAAGATGAAAATACACATATTAAAAATATTTATGATTTATTAGGAGATATTTTTTGCTTTGAAATCTAAAATGATGAATCTTAAAAGTTATTGTTGATTTAAGCTTTTTTTAAGGAGGAGATATGTTGGTATTTGGAGATATTTTAAAGTAAATGACTTGATTGGGAAGGTTTAATTTATTGAAGAAATATATAGAGTACTTAGGTATTATTTTTGGCAATATCAAAGTAAAATTAATGCGGAATTTTTCCCTGAAATTGAGTTAGAAAAATAGGCCGATTTATATAAAGAAATGGATGATCTTTTAATGAAAAATGTATAATTATTCAGTTTTTAATTGGAAAATTAAAATATTGATTTAAAATAAATTGATAATTTTGTGCTTTAAGGAGTTAATAATATAAAAATATAATGCATTTTGAGTAAATAATTAGATAAGAAGATATTTAAATGCAATTACTTTTAAAGTATTAGCCTGTAGTGGAATTGTTAGAATACTTTTTCCATTTACGATTGTATAAATGAATTTGTTTAGGAAGAAATTCTTCAAAAAGGAAATGAGTGGTATTGTAATATATGTGGAGAACATAAATTAGCAAAAAAAAAGATTGAAATTTATTAAACGCCTGAAATCCTTATTTTACATTTAAAAAGATTTAAAGTAGGAACTGTTAATAAATATGGAGGTAAGTATTTTGTGGAATAAGAAGGGAAAAAAATTACATCACTTGTTGATTTTCCTATTGAAAATCTTAATCTTGAGGATTTTGTACTCAATAAAAAATAAATTTCGAATGTTTACAATCTATTTGCAGTGAGTTAACATTTAGGAGAAGCTGCAGGAGGTCATTATACGACAATGGCTTTGAATTTTTTGAACTAAAAGTGGTATGAATATAATGATTAAAATGTTTTATAAAAGAAAAATATAGAGGTTAAAAATTAAGCTTATATTTTATTTTATAAAAGGAAATGATTTTTTTTATTTTTATTAATTTTAATTGATAAAATCTTTTTATTTCTATATTTGTTTTTTATTTATATACTTATATAATAATAATTTTTTTTTAAAATAATATTTTTAAATTCTATCTCAATTTTCGTCTTTTTTATCTTATTCGATGTAGTTCTATTATTTATATGTGTTTCTTTAATAATACGTCATTTGTCTTCTATTTTTTTTATTATTAAATATTTATATATAAATAAAATATAATTACGGCCCGTATTAATTTTAATATTATTTATTATTAATAGAATAATATTAATTTTGTGATTAAATATTTGAATATTGATTCGGAAAAACAGATGAAACCGATGGAGTAATTTGTCTTAATTACCTTTCCTATAAAAAAAATGATTAAATAAAAAAATACTAAAATATGTAATAAGATATATATATATATATATATATATTATATATATATACATATATTTAATTTAATATATTTATATATTTATTTATTTACACTATTCATATTCATTTAAGGAATTTGTTAATATTAATTAGGATATTATTAATATGTTTATTAATATTGATTTTCTGGTATATTAAAATGTTTAATAGGGTATTAAGGTATATTTTATTAAGGAACGAAATGTGGATTAGCTCTTTAAATATTCATGAGTTATTAAAAGTTATTTGGTTATGCTTAATAAAATGATGCTTAGGATTATGGTTCTATGACTGGCGTATTTACAAAAGGTGGTGGAATTTACAAATTTGTTGTAGTTTCTGCCTTGCCAATAATATTTTCAAGTTAATCAAAATCAACGTTTTCAAGATTTATGTCATCTTCTTATTATTAATTTTATTTAGATGAATTATTATTATTACCTATATTTATATCCTTATTACTGTTAGCGGTAATACTGTTTGGATTTTTCAAAGAAAGATTCATTTCAGGCAAATCATTTTCATCGTCAGTAATTACAGGGCTTACAATTTATTCTTATTATTACAATAATTATTATTTGGCGATAGGATTAATACAAAACTTAACGAAAGAATAATTAAAACATTTGGATATGTTTTTTTCATGTGTGTTTTTGTATATTATAAAGAATAGTTTTGCTTAATTATTATTGTTGTAATCTTTTGAATCTACTTAAAAGTTAGTTTTTTGAATCTGATTTTATGTAAATATGTTTATTGTTAAGCCTTAAGAAGTCTTATAACCTGCTACATATGATTTAGAGTCTAAATATTGAATATATTCGAGTAATTATTTGGAATCTTGGTCAACATTTACAAGTTCTATCCATCCCTTCAGTATATGAATTATCTTTTTTTAATATTAACGTTCTATATATAGGTTTGTACTCTAAAAATCTCTTGTACTATACATTTCAATTGATTTTTATGTGTCTATGCTAGGGAATAATTTTAGCATTTTTGTAGAATCTAATGTAAAGAATCTAAACCATATTGAAGGGGAGTCTTTTTTAAATCTTAATTTACATTTAAGGAATTTGATTATGCTATCTTCAGGCAATTTTTCTTCTATTTCTGTATTTGATTGTAAAGTTAATATCTATTATTGATTTTATTAACTTTATAAGTTCGAAGCTTTTTGGACTTATTCAGGTACATACTATTAACATAAGAAACTATCTTTTCCGAAATATTAAGCATTTAGTTTTTGTAGTTCTTATTGATCAATTGTTTCTATATTATTATCTTAGTCTGGATTGTACATATAAATTGTAGATTGTTCTTAGTTTATAGTATTTTTTAATAAGACTTCTTCGCTTATTTTGTAAATTTTACTTCCTTATGTATAAAGGGACATTATATTTTCTAATTCTTCCAATTCTTATTTATTTATGGTTTTTTTATTGAACTAGCTTTTTTAGGGGATGAAGGCTTTATTAGCTTTTTCTTCTTGTCTTCGATTTCTTACTCAGAAAAATCCGAAAAAGCTTCAGCAGATTATTTTCTGTATTAGTTTTTTCTTTTTCTATAGTCTCTATAATCATCATCTCTATAATTTCTTTTTTTATCTCGATAATCTTTACGATGGTGATGATGGTGACGATGATAGTGTTTATTTCTTTAACTACTTTCACTTCTATTATAATCTTCCCTTTATTTTTTATATTTATCCTTATCTTTATCTTTAGATGGTTTTAGATCATTATTTAATAATGCTTATAAAGGATTAATTGATTGTTTTTATTATTATTATTATTATTGTATTTATTAAACTTATTATGCTTATTATGCTTATTATGCTTATTATGTTTATTATGCTTGTTATGTTTATTATACTTGAAGCTTTTATTTTTTTTCTTGTTCTTCTTTTTCTTAAAGACCTTTTTCTATTTGTTCAAGGTTTTCCCTTAAAATTAATTTGTCTAGTGTTATTATTGAAAAGTTTTTCGAAAGTATTTTTTTACTAATTAATGGCAGTGTTGTTAACTTTTCAAAACACTTATAATATAATTCGAAATTTCTGTAATATTGTTTTTTATCTTTATAATATTCTCCGAATATTTGATTTTCCATTGTTTTGCTGTGAAAATGCTTTTATTTTTTAAATAAAGGATTTTTTTCAAAGACTTAAATTAACTAATTTTAAACGTTAGAACGATCTTGTTCTGTTACTTAATTATTTTCTTATTAACTTAAAGGGTTTATTTCTAAATCTGCACTATCTTATTCTTTTTATTATATGTTATCATCTTTTTAATTATTATTTTTATTATTATTGTTGTTATTATTATGATTATGAGCATTATTGTTGCTTTTTTAAGGTTTTTTGCTTTGTTTTAAAAACTGAGAATCATAAATAAAATCTTCAGAAATTGGTTTGGCTTTATTTCTTTTACTTTTCTGTCTTTATTCTTAATTTTCTTATTATTGAGAATTTTTTTCTTATTATTAATATTAGCTTTTTTCTTATTATTAATATTAGTTTTTTTCTTATTATAAATTCTTTTCTAGTTACTACTACTACTATGTAACTTTTTCTTGTTTTTAAATAATTTTTCTTATTTTAAGTAGTTTTTTCTTATTATTAAATTTATTTATCTTATTATTAAATTGCTTTATCTTATTATTATTATATTTATTAAAGGCTTTCTTAGGAAGATGCTTTTTCTGGAATATTTTTATCATTTTTTTCTTATTTTTAATATTTTTCAGGTAAAACTTTTTCTTATTAAGAAGCTTCTTTTTCTTTGATTTCTTAAATAGGCTTTTTAACTTATTTATCAGGAAGTTATTTATTTATATGTTTATTAATTATTTAAGGCTTATTGATTTCTTTGATTACTGGCTTTTATTAACTCTATTGATTACTAAGGAAAGAATTAAGATTCTAGAAAGGATTTTTAATAAAAGAAAGGATATTTAATTTTTCGTTTTCATCATTAATTAAATTAACTTTATGTTCAATAAGAATATCGCTAATATCTATAATATTATTGATTTTCTCCTCATCATTTATATCATCTGGATTGGAAATAAAGTTAATTTCATCAAGTTTAGGCTAAATTTGTTAAACGAAAATATTTTCTAATTACTCTAGATTAGATTATATATAATTAGTTTTCAAATTATTTGTTAAAATATTATATAAAATCTAATATCCATCTTGTAATGTATTTTTTAGTTAAAGAAAATTGACTGTATTTGTTTAGTTTTAGATTATTTCGAAATACTTTTAAACATTTTGATTCCAAATATCCATTTAATTTATTATTTAGATTTATAACTAGAATTTATTGTTTTCGTTTTTATTATTTTCTTCAGTATTTTTTAATTTGCTTTTAATTTCCTTTAGTTTATCATTATTTTATATTTTCAAAAAATGAGCTTCTTTATATAAAAAATGTAAATCTTCTTAGTTTTCGGTTATGTATTTTTCATAAAACTATACGTCAAAAAACCATAATTTTTAAGAAATTTCTTCATATAATTTTCTTATTCTTTTTTCGATAATTTCTGGTACATTTTCTTCTTTTTCTTATATAAAGCATTCTAATATTGGTCTATATATAATCATTTTTTATTGGTTTTAATTTAAAAGATTTGTTATTTCTGTACATAAATATTCTATATTCTATTTTTTATATTTTTTTTATGTTTTTTTATGTTTTTTTTTTATACGTTTTGGGTATCTTCAGGAATAATCTTCCCTTCTTGTTTTTCAATTAAATTTTTGTGCAAATTTTAAAGCAGCTTCAATGCTTTGTAAAATAGATCTAAATTATGTTCGATTTTGGAAGAAAAAACATTATTTTCTTTCAAAAAATTTACGTTTTCTTTCACTTTTATAGCTACGTTTTCATCAAGTATCATTTCTTAGAAAATATTTTCAATAAAAGTATAGAAAGGCTTAGTTTTTTAATAAACATTTTGTATTTTTTCTACTAAATATTAAGGAAAGGAGGCTTCTTGTGCAATTTTTAAATTTTTTTCGATATTTTCTAAGTCTATTTATCCGTTAATTTCCTAAAATGCTTAAACTCTTTAATTAAGAGTTTCAAAATCTTCAAAAAAGTAAACAGAAAAGTCTTAAAATTCTTTTATTTTTTATTGGTTTTCTTCAAAATCAAAATCTTTTTTTTGTTCAAGAAAAAAAATTAATTCTTCTCTTTTTTTTACTATGTTTTCGACTAAATTTTATAACTAATTCTAAAAAGGAACTTCCATTTCTAAAGAACATATTCTTTAATAAAATTCATTCATTTCGCTTAAGTTTTTCTTTGTTTTCTTCTATATTATAAGCTACCATTCTTACATATATTCATCAAAAAGCTTTATTTTTTCTATTTTTTCATCCATTAATGGAATTAATACTGGAATTTCTTTCACCATTTCTACTATTTATTGTTCCAAAAGGGCTCTATTTGTTATTTTTTGCTTTTGGAATTACTCGATTTTCTATTTTATATTTTCTTCTTGCTTTATAAGGTACTTCAATTGGTCTTAAAGATTTAAAGGCGACTGTTAAGCTTCTTTTATGAGAATTTAAATGAGTTAAAATGAAGGTTTTTTGGAAATGTTTTCTCTGATTTGTGAAAAGGAAGATGAAGTAGGGGATTTGGATGAAAAAAAGAAAATTTTTGGAAGAAGTTTTGGAGATTAAGATGTACTTTTTACAGAAAAGAATTGGTGTTTTTATAAAAAGGTTTTTTATTGAAAAAATTAAAAAATTAGTTCAAATTCTTATTCTGAAATTTAATTTTTGGGCTAATTTTTAGAAAAAAACAAGTTTTGATTATTTTTTAATATTATAAAATTTGAATTCTTTCATTTATATCTTCATTATTTTGGTCAATTTTATCAAATATTTCTCTTTTCTTTTAATTTCTTTCATATATTTCATCATTGCATTATCTATTATATAAATTTATATAAAAATAAATAAATATATTATTATATAAATATATATATATAAATATATATATATTTATAATATTTTACTCATCATCTTTTATAAAATCAATTATTTCGAATTCATTTGTATTTTATAAAATATAAGAAATAATAGAATTTAAACTTTATTTAATTTACACTTATAGTAGAAGTTCTGTTTTTGCAGAATGTAGTGGAATCATAGTCAAAATATTTAAAAGTTCATTTATATTTTTATTTTCATTAAAATAATTTTATATTCGAATATCTAAAACTGTTAAAAGCACAATAAAATCCATTAAAGTGAACTTTGGAACTGCACTTAGTAATAAATCATAGTTTTCGGGTTTGTTTTAATGAATTATTTCTTTTAGAATTCTTTTTCTTTTATGTATATACCATTCATCACACATTTAACATCTGAAATTTTTCATTTTTTCAATTTGTTTTTCACTTGTTTTTATACATCTATAATGATACCAATCAACTATATTTTTTTTTTTAATATTAATTATTTATATTTTTTTAAATAAATTAAAATTACAACAAAGTTCACATTAAACCATTCCATCTTCTTCTTAATCGGCTTTTTAACACACACAAAAAACATCTTATTTACGATGTTTTTAACATTCGATTGAAACTTCACCACCAAAAAGCTATTTATATTCATTTTCTTGACCATTTTGTGAATTTTATGTGGACAAAAAGGATAGAATTTATTAATAATTAGGTGAATTAGAATCTAATAAAGAAATAATTTACTAAATGTGGCATTCTGATAAATCTTAGGAATAGTTTTAGATAGAAAAATTAGAATTTTTTAACAAATTCATTCTCAAATACCATTCGTATTCAGTACTATCTTTTTTTTCTATTTCAGCATTATTCATATATATCATTAAGCAGTATACATGAGCATATTACTTACAATTTAAATCACAACAAGGAAGAATACCAACTGAGCTTTTACAAAAATGACATTAAGGTTATTTAGCTTATTTTTTCTTTTTTGAAATTGACTATTTTTTCACAAAAGACATATCTAAGTAATTTTTAGGCATTACTATGTTTTCTGAATTATATAAGCCACAAGTTACATGTACCCATTCATTATTTTCGAGTTTTTTTATAGCGCCTTTTTTTTGATTGCAGATTATACAGTTCTATATATATATATATATTATTTTTTTTTTTTTTTTTTATTTTATTTTTTTACAAATTGTTTCTTTGGTTAATCTTATTAACATCTTTCGCATAAAAAATAGGTCACTTTTTACCCTCCTATGATTTCTTCTTTTGTTTATGTTTCTAAACCGTAACAATAACAGTGGACTGTTATTTAACATCCAAAACATTTCATCATGTTTAATCCTCTTTCTTCACCCTCTGGATAATATTTTTTATTTGTAGTAAAACATACTTCACAATAGGAATCCTTTTTTTATATTTTGTATATATATATATTTATTTTTTGTTTACGAGGTAGTCTTGTAATGTTTATTGGGTCAGTCTTTAGAACTTTAGTTTTGTGTAATTATGCTCGGATAATATATTTGATTGTTGATCTGTATTATTTTATTATATATAAATATATGAATAAGTATTGTGGTTTAAGGATAGTTTTTTTTTATTATATATTAAAGCATTTTAGTATAAATAATATATTTATAAAATTAAATTTATATATTTTTTTTTTTGTTAAAATTTGGTTTTTATTGTTTAATGTGTAAAATACTACTAATATGTATTATAAAATCTTATTATTTGTTAATAGTTTTTTATTTGTATTTATTTTTTTTAACTTAGAAACAACCTTTATTATTATCTTTGTCCATTTTTTTAATTTTAATGCTTTTTATTTTTATTTTTTTTTAATCTTTTTTTTTTATTTTTTTCTTATAATTTTATATATATATTTTTTTTATTTTTATTTATAATTAAAAAAAATTAAGAATATTTTTTTCCTTTTTATAATATAAAAAAATTATATTTTATACAAATATATCTAAATAAATTTAAAAACAAAAAAATATTAAATGCATTGCATAAAATATTTATAATACATTTGATGGATATATTATTATTTTAAGATATAATTTTATAGAAATAATAATATATGTTATTTATAATTGAATATTAAGATATCATAAATTAAATTATTAATTTCACATTTTAAAATTTAAATATTAATAAAAAATATTTATGATATTATATTGAATTTATATTATTTATTTCTCAAATTTTTAGAAATAAATTAATATATAATATTTAAATAAAACTTTCTATGAAAATACAATACAAAATTATAAATATTTATAAATTAAATTACCATAATTAAATTATTATATTTTTTTTTTCAAATATTTTTATAATAATATAATGTATTTGAAATAAAGATAAATATAAATATATTTATATTATATGGTTTATTAAATTTATAAAATTTTAAATACTTATAATCATTTAAATTAAAAATAATTATTTTCTTTAAATATATTTTTTTTTTAAAAAAAAAAAAAAAAAAAAAAAATCAAAAATCAAACAATATATATTAAAAGAAAAAAATGTGTCTTTAAATTTAAAATTCATATAAATATTAATATATATTTATACTTTAAATTAATAAAAAATACAAGTTTTATTCATTTTAAATTATTAAATTTTTTATTTGAAAAACTAGAGCTTTAAATATTATTCATTTAATTATTTATATAATTATTTTCATTGTTTAATTATTTATTATTATCATCTATTTATCCATTTTATTATTTACTACCATTAGATTATTATTTATTATCTATTTCTAAAGCTTTTGAGTAATCTTAGATAGCTTAATCTATTTTTCCCAAGCTTGAAATTTAAAAAATATAAATAAAAGTAAATACAAAATAAGTTACTTATCAAAACAACATCCTCTATTGAAAAAAGCATTTGCATTAAGAGGGTTTTATTTGATCACTTAACTGAAATCTTCAATAGCCTAAAATAAAATTAAATATTAAGACACATTTAAATATAAAAATATTAAATAAAATATATTTACATATTTTTATATACTTTTTAAAATTTTCCTAATTTTTCATAACAGATTCCTCTATTATGTAATGCATGAGTATTCTCTGGTTATAAGCTAACAGCTTAACTATAATCTTATATAGCCTCATTGAATTTACCTAGCTTTGCATAAGAATATCCTCTATTATTAAGGCTTCTTACATTTTCACCTCCAATTCTGATTTCTTCATTATAACACTAAATAGCATTTTCAAATTATTCTAATTTTCTAAATACAAGACTTATAAAATAATTAAAAAATTAAAATATTTTATATTATTCTTTATTTTTTTTATTTTTTTTTTAAAAAAAAACCCTAAATTAGATAATATAACTGTATTATTAGGATCTAATTTTAGAGCATTTTCAAAATCTTTAATAGCTTCTAAAAGCTTATCTCCGCTTCTTAAACAGCATCCTCTATTATGTACATATGTAGGATTTTATCTATCTAGTTCTATTGCCTAACTAAAATTTTATTAAGCTTCTTCAAGCTTTCCCATTTTATCTAAAATAAGTCCTTTTCCATTATAAACTAAAGGTTATTTATCATCAATTTTTAAGGATCTTTTTTTTTGAATATATTTTATAAAAAAAATAAAGATATACTTATTAAAATATTCCAAAGCTTCTATAGATCTATTAAGTTTATCTAATAAAGCTGCCAAATAATTAATACAGGAAGTATTATTAGGCTATAAAGATAGAGCTTATAAATAATCATTTTCTGCGAGTTAAAAATCGCCCATTTTTTCATAACAAATAGCTCTATTATAAAAAGATTTAAAATGATCATTTTCAAATTATATGGAAAATGTAAAATCTTAAATAGCCTCATTAAAACATCCTTTTTTTTTCCAAGCAAAACCTCTATTATGATAAAAGTCGCTTTTTTAAGGATTTAAAGCTATTGCTTTTGTAAAATCTTTAATAGCATAATCAAAATCACCTTTACGGTCATAAGAAATTCCTCTATTATAATATGCATAACAGTTATTATTTTCAATCTCTAAGGCTTTTGTGTAATCTTTAATTGCCAAATCGTATTCTTTTAATTTATCAAATGCAAACCCTCGATTAAATACTGCCTTAAAGTGTTAAGGATTATATTAAAGTGCAATTGTATATAGCTATATGGCAGTTTCTAGTTCATTATTTTTTCGAGCTTCAAAACCTTGCTGATGATACCAGTCTGATATTTATTTTTTTTCAGTAATATGAGAAGGGTGTTGAAGATTTTTGGGTTAATGATGAGTATTTTGGGCTTGTTTTTATGTATTATTTGATTTTTGTTATTAGAAAAGATAAGAGTTATCAATATTATTTGTATTTATCATACAAAATTAACTATTATCTTTGTCATTTTAAGGGTTCATAAGTCCTCCAGATTCTTCTTCATATTTTTATTTACTACTTTATATTTCTAAAAGGAAACCATTAGAGTAGTATTTTATGTTTTATTATTGTTTATTTTCACTTTTTTATTATAAAGGAGTTTTTAATTCATATCCTTTTTAAGATTGAGAGTTTAAAAGTGAATTATTTTATGAAATTTTCATTGAAGAATCGCTATTTTTAAAAGCTCTTTTTATATTATTTGTTTAGTTTAAACTTTTTTCACTGTCTTTTTCTAAGGCTACTATGTAATTATCTATTGCACCATTATAATCACCCTATATTAATTTTATAAAAATATATACTTTTATATATTAATATTTATTTACTATTTTATTTAAACAGGCAGCTCTTGCAAATGCCGCATTTACATGATTTTCATCTAATTTTAATACCCTAGTGAAATCTTCGATTGCTTAATCGATTAAGTTTTACTTTTCAAATGCACAGCCTCGTAAATAATAGGCTCCGACATTGTCTTTGTCTAGTTTTAGTAATGTATCACAATCAATAATTGCTTCTTTATATTTGCCTTTTTTTATATAGGAACTGCTTCTTATATATAATGCTTTTTTATGGTTTGAATGTTATTCTAGTTTTTTAGAACATATTTCTATTAAATTATCAAGATTTATAGTCTTTTATTTATTTTTATTAATTTTTTTTTTTTTTTTTAATTTTACAGGACGGGTTTTCTAAAATTTAGAATTTTAAGGACTTGCATTTGATGATGTTATTGTCATTATATCAGATAAATCTTTAATATCAGGATTTAAGTACATACTGTTGGATTTCAAATGCTTTTTACCATTTGAATATGCTTTTTGATCATAATAATATTAATTTTGGGTACGGATAAAATTATTTGTATTCATTTTTTTTGTTTTGTTTTAATAGTTATATTTTTCTTGTTTTTTTTTTTTTTAAAAAAAAAAAAATTTGAAAAAAAAAACATATATTTTATTTTAATTTTTTTTGTTAAAGAAAAATAAAATCAAATTATAATTATTATAGTCTTTTATGTTTTTTTTTTATTTTTTTATTTTATTTTTTTTGAATAATAAAGCATTTATTTTATAATTTATGAAAAAAAATTTCTAAATTAATAATATAAAATAATCATTTAAATTCAAATAAAAAAACATTTGTTAACTTTTATAAAATTGGTATATATTTTAAGATTATTAATATTAGTTTTAGTTTTATTAAAAAAATAAATAAATAAAACATATTGATTATACTTAGTTTTTTATAAATTTTTTAAATTTCTTCTTTCTTAAATATATATTAATAAATTTTTATTAAAAATTATTTTTATAATTTTACAATAATAACAAAAAACTTTAATTAATGATTTTCTATAATAAAATATTTTATATCAAAATAAAAAGAATAATATCAATTTAATAAATATTAATATTTTAAAAATTAAATATAAACTTTTAATATATAAAAGGTTTTTTATAATGAAAAATTTCTCAAAATCCTAAAAAGAAAAAATTCATTATTTGATAATTTGAAATTATTTAAAAAATGAATAATATAAATCAATAAAAAAATTTTTAATAAAAACATTGCCTATCAAAAAAAAAAAAAAAATTCCAAATAAAAAAAATTTTCCTTTTTTTTTTTTTTTTAATAAATATAATCCAAATAATATTTACAATAGAATATATATAAACGACTAATTTTAAAAATTTATACAAAAAATGAGCTTTTTTACGATTTATATTCAATAAAAAAAAATCAATTCAATTAAAAATATCATTAAATATATTCATTTTATTGAAAATTAAAAATGATAAAAAATATTAATTAATTTTTAAAAACAATATTTTTATTATTTAATATAATTTAACTAATAATTTATGATTTATAATATTTTTCGTATTAAAACATTATCTTTTTATAGTTTTAGTTTTAATTTAGGAAAAAAAAAATTCATTTAATAATTAGATAAAAAGGTTTATAAATATAAAAAAAAAAAATAAGTTATGTTATTTATTTTTAAGTTAATAATGTAATTAAAATTAGATACGAAGACACTTATCCTAAAAAATTCATTAGAAAGAGTTTTTAAATGCATTAGAAATGTTTTTTAATAGAAAAAAAATAAATTATAATTAATTAAAATAAAAGATATTTAGGTTAATTTGATATAAATACATCTTAATATATCTAAAAAATAATATATTTATTTATATATAATTAATATGAATATATAATTTAAATAAAATATATAAATAAACAAATTGTTAAAATATATATATATATATATTTATATAATATTTTTATTTAATTTTTAGTATAACTATTTATATATAAATAATATTTTTTATTATTATTTTTATCAATAAGATTTATGTATATAGGTATTAACTAAACGAAATATTCATATTAATTTTCGAATATAATTATTAAAAATACAAAATATTCCATATAAATTTTTTAATAAGTTTATTATTTTAATGATATTAATTTTTTTGTGTTTTATTCTTTTATCGAATAAATGAATTTTTTTCATCTGATGATTTTTAAATATTGTATTTGAATTAAGAATTTTTTATTTATAATTAATCTATGAATAAATTTCTTAGTAAAACATAATGTAATATCTTTAATAAAATCTAGATTTTATAGAAACTACAAATACAATGGATGTAATTAAGATAGCTTATTTAGTAAATAATATTATTTTATTTAAGACAAAGAATATTCGCTTTAAAAGATATAAATAATAAAGGATATTTTAGATAACTAAAAATATAAATATGATTGAAAAATAAATTAAAAAATATAATTGATAATAATAAATAAAATAAACAAATTTTTTAAGTATGTAAATTTATTCTTTTTTTAAGAATTAAAATTTAAAAAAGAACTAAAAAAAAGAAAAAAATAATATTTCGCTTTATATTATAAATTTGTTAAATTTAAAGAATTATCTATAAATTCATAAAAGAAAAATAAAT